ACAGCCTGTTGTGCCTTAAAATGGCTTCTACTGTGCAGCACAGTAGAGTTGCCATGGTAACGGCCTTACAGTACCTCACAAGGGGGCTCCCTCTGGTAAGGGGGAAAATCCAACATTAGAAATTATGTTTGGTCTGGATATTCCCCCCCTATAAATAAATACCCAGGCAACACCAGGTTATCAGCTAGTAAAATTATATTTAAAAGATGGGGATGAAAGGAACAGCATGGGGGAGGAGGTGGTATTGCCTCTTAATTCATCAAACCCCTCAAATGAGATGGTCCACCTTTGGAGCCCCAAGCTGTCTGGCAGAGTTAGGTCTTCAGGCCCTTACAGAAAGTCAGGAGGTTGTGGTCAATCTCACCTGAAGGGCAGGGGTGGGCTGCTGGCGGCATTGCTGCCCGTTCACTGCATGTGCGTTTTGCGCGTCATTAGAGTGCTAGAATTATATTTGTATCATTTTAGTGAATGTTTACCTGGAAATATTTTCATATTTTCAGACAAGAACTAGCAAAGTGTTCAAAGACGCTGGTTTTTGTAGAATGCATACTATGGTATAATGATTAAATCTGTGACTGTCTTCAAGAAGCCAGGAGCTAAGATATTCTGATGATCATTTTGAAATGTTGTTCTGCTTATTTTGGCAGATCTGAAAAAGGGATGTTTATGATTGAAATGTATTAATTAAAACATCCATTAAAGAAAAAAGAATTAAACATGTTTTAAATATCATTTTGTATTCTTTTTCAAACACAAAGTTGTCACATTTTCAGAGATGAAGCCTATACAGGGGCATTCGAACAACAAGATGGAGCTCAGCTCATAACAAAAGTTTTTCATTTTAATAATGAATTTACTCCCATGGATGTTGAAGGAAGAAACTTGCTGTTATGAAATGTGGATATTGTTCCACAGGCTCTGAAAATAAATCAGCCACAATATTTGGATATAGTCACTGTCAGAAACAAAATGATTCTCATTAAGGGTTCTTTTATCAAGAGTGAATCATGCATTAAGTCTTAGACAAAGAATTCAAACAATTAAAATCAGAGAAAGCAGCATCTTGGTTAGCACCGATACAAGCATCA